GTGTCGGCGGCGGCTGGGATGCGACGCGGCGCGGCGGAGTCAGTGACGCAGCGTCGACGCCATGGACTGTCGCCATATGGGCCTACAAAAATGATCAGTAAGTAATAAATAGTAATAAATATTTGAATCGCAGGTTCGAGAACATAGATAGTTACTTAGCTGGCTTTTGTCAAATCACGTACCTGGAGTATTTCAGGTCTTCGGAAGGCGTCTCCGCAGTGCAAGCAGCGCGTGGTCCTGCGGCGGTCGTGGTCCCTGGTCTCTCGAGGGTCACGTTGGTCTCGTGATGCGCGGTCTCGCTTATGGCCCTGCATGTGCGAGGTAAGCGCGGCCGCCGTGTTGTAGCCGCGGTTGCACACCGTACATTGGAACGGTTTTTGGTTGTCGTGCGTTTTCATGTGGATTTTCAGATGATCACTGAAATATGCATACAAAGCGTGTAACCATCACCCTATTACTGCCTAACAATAGTTTTACTATATGTAAGTAGGGAAAAAAAATAGGTTAATCGTAACTTTGTTGTTTAGCAGAGGCAATACAAAACATCACCTTTGAGTAAATTTTCTTAATGGCATTATTCACGATAACAAATGTCTTAATGTCTTTTGCATTAAAATGTTCGTTTAGTTAAAACATCCGAGCGAGAATTTAAAATTAAATGCACCGAATGGCCATTGTGAGATCGGAGGAGTCGATTAGTCATATGAGACATAAGTGGGCACATAAAGCACGGACCAAACGGAGCCAACAAAGGGGTCTTTTCACACGAACTACAGAGCGTTCGCCCAAACACCTCTGCTAATGGCCGAGCGTCGTGCCTGTTTCGGTGCGAGCCATTATTTTCATTTTTGTGAGGCTCTCGACGCCATTTGTCAGCGGATTGTGTCTTTTCACAACTCGCCGGTCGTCGGCGATGGATTGAGTAGAATTAGTCACGTGACCGTCGCGAGGTGACGAAAAAGGTGACGCGTAGTCGTGAGCTTTGTGGCCCGGCTTACGGCGATCAATCTTACCAGCGACCATTGTCTCAAATTCTCCTTTAAATTTCCTGATCTAAGCACACTTATAATATCTTCTTTAAAGATTATAAATTATTTCCCTTATAAGAATACGACATGATTTACTTTCTATACAAAACAGTCCATATGTTGCATCGATTGTATTGATGAGGGTTATAGCAAAAACAGATACCTACATATGTCAAATAGTCGATTCTTTTTGTAATTGCAATTACGATGATATTCACTTAAATTAAATCATGAATATTTTATTTTCATATACATTTTCATACGACCTTTTACGTATGCTTGATAATTCTAAAGATATACAGTTAACACAAAAATTGCTACCTTCTAGAGAATGCGGATTCACAGTGCGCACAGCGGTACTTGCGGTCGCCAGTGTGCAGTTTGACGTGCCGGTCGCGCGATCGCTTGTGCTTGAACAAACGCGAACAGAACTCGCACCGAAACGGCATCTGGTCTGAATGCGTCTGTAATATATGAAAAACATGTAATATGAAAAAGAAAGAAATTATTTAAACCTCCAATAATTATATAACAAAAACCATTTATCGTAAATTGTATAAATTTATGAAAATTTCTAAATCAAGAATAATTATGAAGACGGTAAAATCTATGTAGAAATGTCATGTAATGGGTGCGGTGGTCACAATGTTCGTGAGAAAGGTCCCTAACAATACGGCGCGGGGCCGACGGCAACGATCGCAAACAAACACTCACAACACAAAAAAAAAAACCTAAGATGAAATAACATTTTCACTCTGAGTATAATCTTATTCTAATTAACTCATTCTAAAGGAGTAAAAATTTCAAGTCCTTTGTTT